CAGCATAGCCGCTACCTTTTAAAACGCTGAACTATGTCAATTTCGTCGTATATCTCATACAGCTCATCGTTCCATCGAATGCGATATTCGCTGTGGCTAACGCGCAAAGGACCATAAATCTTTCGCAGAACCTTTCTCTTGAAAACTTGACGACGATATTTCAAAATATTAAAAAAAAAATAAAAATATATACAAAAATTAAAAAAAAAAAAAAAATTAAAATTAAATAATGCTGTTATCGTCCATGCCTCTCCACCATATAGCAGGACGGTAATAATGAGTGACTTACAGAGTTTGGTTTTTGTTCATCGAGAGAGGACTTTACTTCTCAATTGCCTACTCAGTCCGAAGTAGCTCCTGTTGAAAAAAGTTATTCTGTATGGGATTTCGGGGCTGACGTTGTTGGTGGTGTTGATACTGCTTCCAAGATAGATATTATTGTATACGTGAGAGCCATGTCAGGATGACAGGAAATATTTCGTTTTTCCCTCGTTCACCATCAGACCCATATTGATGTCATCGGCGTACGACAGAAGCTGTACACTCTTATAGAAGATTATACTAGCTCTATTAAGTTCTGCAGCTCGAATTATTTTCTCCAGCAGCAAATTAAAGAAGTCGCACGATAGGGTGTCGCCTTGTCTGAAATCTCGGCTCGGAGAGATCCGAGCTTTGCTCAGTTTACATAGCCGTATTAGTTTTGCGGGGATATCAAATTCAGACATCGCGGCATAAAGGCAGCTCCTTTTCGTGCTGTCGAAAGCAGCTTTGAAATCGACGAAGAGGTGGTGTGTGTCGATTCTCCTTTCACGGGTCTTTTCCAAGATTTTGCGCATCGTGAATATTTGGTCGGTTGTTGATTTACCAGGTCTAAAGCCATATTGATAAGGTCCAATCAGTTTGTTGACGGTGGGATTTAATCTTCCACACAATACGCTCGATAGAACCTTATACGCGATATTGAGGAGACTTATCCCAGGTAGTTGGCGTAGATTGTGTGGTCTCTCTTTTGTATGGATTGGGCAGAGCACACTTAAATTCCAATTGTTTGGTATGCTTTCGTCCGACCATATTTTACAAAGAAGCTGATGCCTACTCCTTATTGTGGTAATTGCTATTCGAAGCTCTTTATGGTCGGGCAATGGAACGTCTGCCGCATCGCCATTGATTGGGGAATCGCGTTCGCCTTCTCCTGACATTATGCTTTCGTTGCCATTCAGCAGGCTGGAAAAGTGTTTCTTTCATAATTTTAGTATGTTCTGCGGGTTATTAGATCACCTCTGGGTGTTCTACAAGAATATGCTCCGTTCTTGAAACGTTTTGTTAGCCGACGCATTGTTTCGTAGAATTTTCGAGCAATACCCCTCTCGGCCAGCTTGTCCAAGCTCTTCATACTAACGCATTTCGGCCTCTCTCTTTGTTTGTCTGCAAATTCCCTCTTCAACTCTCGTCATCTGTCACATCCCATCCATGTGTTGTGGTCGATCGTAACGTTACGAGGTAGGCAGTCTGCTTTCTCACTGCTGCGACACGGCACTCCTGATTCAGCAGTTCTTTTGCATTTTCTGAAAATCAATGATTTCGGTTGCAGCTGTACGTAAGTTGAAATGCTGTCCCACAGTTTCCTTATATCGAATTGTTGAAGAGTGCTCTCAGTGAGCAGGAGTGCAAGTCGAATAGAATTGTTCGCCTGTCTGTTGTGATTGCAGCTTCTCGACGTCGAGTTTTCCTTGTGTTTGTTGACGTGCGTTTTTTACGGCACAGGGTCGTGTGCTTATCTTGGCTGCTATAAGATAGTGGTCTGAGTCGATATTAGAACGTCGCAGCGTACGCACGTCACTGAAGATGATCCATCAGGTTAGTGGCTTTCCGATTCGTAGACAGCCAGGTAGCTTGATGTATTTTCTTATGTTGAAATCTAGTACTACAGAAAACCATTTTTCGGTCCCCGGCGAAGTCGATCAACCTCAACCCATTTGGGGATGTTTCCTCGTGGAGGCTGAATTTACCGACTGTTGTGCTAAAAGTACCTTACTTGCCCACACTGTCGTTAAAGTCGCCAAGCACGAATTTGACATCGTGACGAGGGCAGCTTTCATAGGTGCGCTCCAAGCGCTCATAGAAGGTATCTTTGCTCACATCGTCCTTCTCTTCCGTCGGGGTTAGCTCGCCTTCAAACGGATGTCCTTTGGCTACCCAGAGGGTACTTGGTCGAGGACCGGAAATCGTGAGCTGCTTGAGTTATATGTAAAATAATAATAAGTGAATGGAAATCATAGAACTTTCCTCACGACCCCATCTTCCTGATAGATCACCAGTTCAAAAAACATGATTTTGAGAAAAACGCTTTTGAAGTTTTACACGAACGTTACAAAGCGAACGAGAATTCTTCAAACTACTTGTTTTTTTAGTTTGCATTATTTTATAATTATTTATAGTTTTCTATAACTTTTCCTTTAACTGATAGATCTTTGCCTCTATCAAATTTATTTTAACAAAATACAGTACAAGAAGAAATTACATTAACTTCGGTTCCACCGAAGCTATGTATAATACTCTTCACAAATGCAAAATATTCCTTCCAATAACTTTGATAGGTCAGTTTAAATAGCACCTACATACATGCATATATACAGTGACTAGATCTGAACAATTTCTTCGGAGATTGCACCGTTGTCGTAAAATGAAAAGGCTTTGCATACGTACATATACAAGTAGTTTATTCCGCCACTTCGGCGGCAGCCATGTGTTATAGTGGTATGACATCGGCCGTTCATTTTTACTAGGTATTAATATTTATGAAGTTTTATTACTGATTCATCATGATTTGCATCATTCAGATGAAGCAAAAATTTTTCACTTTTAAATTATTTATTTATTTAGTGCACATTTGCTAAGTTCTATTGCTTAAACAAGGTTGCCAGATATTCTGAGTTATGTAAATTTAATTAAACTATGTATATAACTTTACGTTGCTGTTACATATGAAATTATATGTATGTATATGTATTTTTGAAGTTGTCTAATGAGCCATTAAAAAAACGTAAAAAAAACTGAATGAATTTGATATAAATTTTGCTTAGTGACAAAAATGTATTTAAACTTCGATATTGTCTATTAATGGCATGGTTTTTGTATACTTTTTTACTCTAGTCGAAATTGGAATTTATTGCTCCCAGACTGGAGACTCTCACTCAATATACCATTCTCAGCTTACATTAAAAATATAATATATATTAATTAACTTAGCATGACACAAAAAATTATAGAAATCGATAATACTTTATTTTATTTGCTACCTTTTTGGCCTCATAATTTCTTAATCGTTTTTGACTAAGAGCACAATGGCACGCCTATCACCAAATTCGAGACCTTTCCAAACATCACAATTTCTCTACTGTCACCAGCCAGTACTATATTATTTTAGATCTTAAGGCGACCTGGCTTTCCATTTTATATTATGTTAAAGTGTTGACTTTATACCTCGAGGACTTTACATCTCAGTTACCTTATCTGAACAGATTAGTGATCAGATGAGAATTTATTATATTTTATTGCATGTCAAACCTTATTTCCTAGAATTCCACAGTTGCAACTGCTTATGAAATCATCTTTTTTTGTAGATTGAGTTGAGTTAAGTAAAAAAGTAAAAAAATCAACAACTTTTTATCAAATGCAATATTGGCATATTGGCAGCTCTAGTTAATAAGTATATCAATAGGAGAACGTACATCCATATGTACATATTGTATAGTATGCCATACTAATTTGCATAACAGTCGACGCTCACAAAATATAACCACTTTGTTTTTAAGGTGACTCTAATTTCTAGAGGCTTCTTTATTCATCAAGGTACTCGTATAAACAAAAAAATTAGTTAAATTTACTTTGAACGCTATTTTGAATTAAATCTTTTAATGTAAAATGAAAGAAATCAACATTTTCGATTCTAATTTTAGGTTTAATGTAGTGCAAAGACAGATGCTAAATTTTAGAATTTCGATTTACTGAAGGTTTTAATTTGTGAGAGTCGACTGTACTGCAATGCAACATCTGAAAATATAGAAGATTGATGACTTATGCATAATACCTATATTTAAATAGGAGCAATAAAAATTCGTCTACAGTAAACTCTTGATAAGCTTTACAAACAAAACAAAAAAAATTGCCGGTTATATAAGCAAGTTGTGATGTTATGAAATGCCCAAATAACGAGTTTTTCGTTAAAGTATTGAATGTGTTCTTGTTTTAAGGTGTAAGATTCTACGCAACTTTTTACGCATACCAACATCACGTGACCAGCATTTTATTGCCATAATACAAAAAAAATTATGCGAAGGCTTAAAGCAAATTAAACTATCTCCGCAATCACCTGGATAAATTTTGGAAATTATAGTGAGGAATAGAGAGAGCGGTTCAACCAGGATCTATGCGTGAAGGAAGAAAGGTATCAGTTTTGATGGATCCCGTTATGTTGGCAGATTAACGCGGTTCTTAAAAAAATTGTCAATTGAAAAAGTATGAAATAAAACGAGTTTATATTAAAGTATACATATGTTTTTCGAAATTTTCTCTATGTTTACTTTGATGTATGGTGTCGGCTATTTTGATCATGTTTTCTGACTTATGTGATGTAAAATGAAACTAAGATTTATGGTAGTTTCATTAATTGTAGATACAAACGTATTATACATCTAAAATCCATCTAATATTGTATAATAAATAATCATATATAATGAAAAATATGAAATTTGTTGTTAATTACGATAAGGTCTTTAGTTAATGGATTTTCTCTTCCGGCAAGTGTTGAAGGAATTGCTTAATCTTATCACTTACTTCAGTGAATATGTTCCAACAATAATTACTTTACTTGTATTATACCGTTTCTTCGCTGATAAGACGTAACCTTTGCTGAACAATTTTTTATTTACTTTACTTCAAATTTTCGTTCAATACAATCAAATCAGACAAATGATGAAATAAGCGTTGGTATTACATACCAGTCAAGAAAAAAGTGTAGTTGCATAAAAGAGCCAGAAATCATTGAACTTGATTGAAGAAAAGCATGAGCTGGGCTATGAATTAGTTCTGCATCCATCAGTGTCTAACTCCTACCAACTTCTTTCTGTTCTCAGGCCTCAAGAGAAGGTACACTGAAAAGAAATTTGGTTACAATAGAGTACAGAGTTTTATCCCGACATATCTTGATTTGTACTCTCGAAAGGAAAGAATTAGATGGAATTCAAATTGTGTTATGTTGAAAGTATGCGATTTGGCGATCCCTCGATCTAAATTATATTTATATATCTTTTAGTACTTAGTTATGGCACTTTATATATTTTCGTTAAATGCCGTTTTGTGGGCGTGGCAGTGGTCTGATTACGCCCATCTACGAACGTGATTTTTTTTTGTCAAGGAACAAGCAGACGAAGTTGCATTAATAATTTTAGGGTGATTCAAAAAAAAAATTTCGTTTGTTACTCTGAAAAATAGGTTCCTTGACATCTCTAAAGAAGCCTCTCCAAGAATGAGTTCTTAATTGTAACGGGAAGGTCCTCCTACATACAGTTTTCTATTTTTTTTTATTATCATATAGAAACATTTATATATCACATCCAATTGTTTGAAAAAATATTTTGTTCCTTAGATTTTGTAGGAAATTGAATGCTCTACAGAAAAGGTTTTCTATGATTTTTTCGTAAACCCAACCGTTTAAAAGATATTGACGGTTGAAGTTTGATTATTTCTGGGAAAATTTTTTATTTCTTATGATTCAATGAAGAAAATCATTATGAATGATGAAACTCATAGGTTTTTGGAGAGGGTTTCTTAGAGATGCCTAGGAACTTATCTTTCAGAGTACCAAACGAAAAAAAAATTTTTATAATATAATATGCATTGATGTTTGACGATGAATATCTCGTAAACGCTTAACTTAATCGAAAAATCATAAGAGACCATTTTTATAGATCAGCTAATTTCCTACAAAACTGTATGTCGACTGTCTGCTCTCTCTATCAAATTTTTTGAAGTGAAGTTATTGCGTTTTAAATGTCAGTATCTTTGGGTTATCGGTGCGAAAATGAGCTTCAAACAAAGAGCGAATATTAAATTTTGTTATTTTGTTTTAAAATTGATAAAACTTTTACCGAAACGTTTCAATTGATGAAACAAGTTTAAGGCGATGATTTCCTATCCCATAGCAGAGTGCACGAGTAGTTTCAACGTTTTCAAAATGGTCGCTAGGACATAGATGACGACGAAATGGAATTGAACCTCCCCGAAACATCGATTTATCGCTTTTTGACCGAGCTTTTGGGCTTACGAAAGGTGTGTTCCGTACAAATTGACTGACGACCAATAATTTCTCTCATCGATCGACGCTTCTGACCGTTTATTTGACTAAAAATCTCATTATTACCATTAATCACTCCCCGTATTCACCTGATATGGCACCGTGGGACTTCTCCCTTTTCGGAGTAATGCATTTGTCCATGAAAGGAAAACGTTATACAGAAGTAGAGGCCATTCAAAAGGCTTGCACCGGCATACTGGCATCCATACCGGCCAAAGAGCTAAAACACTCGTTCGACATGCTTTTGGACCGTGCAAAAAGCTGTACTGAAGCAGAAGGAGACTATTTTGAATAAAATAAATTGATTTTGCCGAAAAAACTATTTGTTCTGTTTTATTTTTTTAAGTCCTGTTAACTTTGGAACGCACCTTGTATGTACATAGGTTTTCAAATGCTGTGCCAGGGATTATTTTTCATCGAAACTTGTTTGTTCAATTAACCGGGGAGAATTAAAAGTATATTTTTCACATTTTTACATATTATTAACCGGGTTAAATTAAGCGGTAATATTTACTCGTAATAGGCCATTCTAAGTCCCCGGCCTACCATAAAAACAAAGCAATTCGAAGCCCAATTCTTTGATTTTTACCACAGCTTTCACTGTTTTGTGAAAAGGTACATTGTCGTCATTCAACACCAGTTTCGTTTTCTTCAAATGACACCGCTTTTCGGCGAATTCGACGCTGTTGATGGTCATTCCCTTTTCAAGGTAGTCAATGAGAATTATTTAATGCGCATCCCGAAATACATACACCAAAACCTTGGCATCCGAATAATATATTACATTGACAATTGCGGGTCTAATAAGAGCAGACTTTACTGTATTTTGAAACTTTACTCAATTCAAGTGCAAACAATTACTATTAAATTAATGCATTTTCCACGCCTCGTAAAATGTTTGGTCGGTTTTGTGACTTTTCGCAATACAAATGTCACTTATGTAGGCACACATTGATTCCGTCTGACTTTACTCCAATTCACTAAATATATTATGCATACATACATACATACGTCTCTTACGATATTTTTAAATATAGTATATATGTATATGGGTATACACCTTATCCGTTGTTGTTACTCTTCATGCATTTTTTGTGATGCCCAGGGTATAAAACACGGTAGCATTGCATTAGCTCATCAATCGCAAGTCAGTATTCAGCGAGAATTGTTGCAATGAAGCTTTTGCTTGTTTTCTGCGTTGTGGCCACAATCATGGTTGTACAGTGTTATGGTTCGTCCTTATAAGGCATACACATACGAATTTTGAAAATTTTAACATATATTTCTTTGTGCTTGCAGCTGGGGAACCTAAAGGGCCGGGTAGGCAGAAGCGTTCACCCGAACCACGTAGTAGCAATGGAGCTCCTGGTGAGCCTGGTAAAAATGGCGGAGGAGGTGGAGGTGGTGGTGGCGGTGGCGACAATGGAGGAGGTGGTGGCGACGGTGGCGGTGGTGGCAACGGTGGCGGTGGTGGCAACGGTGGCGGTGGTGGCAACGGTGGCGGTGGAGGCAATGGAGGTGGTGGTGGAAATGGGGGTGGTGGTGATGGCGGCAAAGGGGGCAAAGGTGGTGACGATGGTGCTCCTGGTGCGCCCGGAGCTCCTGGTCATTAATTTTGTTTACGAAAATAAAGTTTTGTTTTGTTTATAAGTCGGCATTCGAAATAATTTTTTATTGATGGTCATTGACGGTCATCAGTTGTAGGTGGTTAGAAAACTATCTCTCTGACTCCGTACGTAATAAATATTTGCGTATCATTACCGCTTGATAATCTCAAATAGTTGTAAATTATTAATGATCAATAATGTAGGAATTAGTATGTAAACTTTCTAGCTTAAGCAGTTTAATATGATCATCTAATGAGAGGGTTGTGATGGTGAGTATTTGAACGTCTACCTAATACTGCCAAGAAGCATCTCTGAGTGGAATGATAATCAATGTTTTTACTGATTTTTTCCTCAATGTGATTTGAGTTATTAGGTTAGGTTAGTTAAATAGGCTGATTTTTCGTGAGGCAGCCAATAATACCACTTTGATAGCTAGAGACCAATTGAGCTGAACTCGTAGAAAGTGTGGGAACCGAGAGGCTTCAACCTTACTTTGGCGAAATGTGGACCGTGGATGAGAGAGTATGTAGATCTTTCCGCCTCAACTTCCTCACTGCAACTTTGACAAGTTGTGTCCTCCAAAACTTTTAGCCTCACCGTGTGAGTGCCAGTAGAGCAGTGTCCAGTTGGGATACTTATCGTTGCGGCAATGTGGACTTTGATAAGAGCTAGCCGTTCAATGGACCTAAGGAGTTATTGTAATCTCAAAGCATTTTGGTGTCTTTATCAAAAATATTCTGGAAATTCGAACAGAATAGCGATAAAAATGAAAGATTAGGATTGTCGAAGTCATTATAACTTTAGTATTTCGCAAAACTATCAGACATATGTACAATGTAAGGATTGAAAAGTATAGATTCTTCGATAGTATACTACGAAAAGGCTTACTCAAATTCAATATACTCAATATGCAAGGATAAAGGTTAAAATTAAAGAAGAAATTGCAAATAATAAACGGTAAAATAAAAACAATTATTATTTTATGTTTCCTAGAATTATTTTAAAGAGCAAAAACACAAATTTTTCACTGAACTAACTGTTTTCGAAGCGCTCCACGGTGCTATCGTTGACATTACAGTGAAGAAAAACTATGGTAGCATGTTTCTTTACGTTTAAAGTCCGCGTAAATATTGAAACACATTATTTGAGGGTCCCCATAATAATATTATTGTTATTTTAAAATTCGCTATAAATATATAACGGATGATGTAGAAGTGAAGTACCTTTTCAAAAGCTTTTTTTTTTGACAGATCACATCGGCCCATATGTATATCTACAGAAATGACGCCGGTAAGAACGTCAAGGGCGATGGCGACCATTATCGCGCCTTGATAATCAAATATTTAATGCCTGAAATTTAAGCTCATTAACTCAGAGACATTTGGTTTCAACAAAACGCCACCACTTTCCCATATCGACTAAAATTTATATCAAGGTTCCTCACGAGGTAATAAACAATTTTCCTTGTGTCTTTTGGTGGAATTTTGTTTTTTCAAAAATAAGTGAAAATTGAACAAAATATTGCTTGGCTGAATTATTAAGGGTTAAGAATGGCAAAACTACAACTACAACTTCAAAACTAACCTTCTTATATCAACAACCATATTTTTTTATTTAAAACATTTATTTTTTCCCCTTATACTGACGAAACGGGAAAACTCAAATTTTCATTGAGAAAATCTGAGGAAAAAGTATCTGTGTTTACTTTGTGATGACATAAAACTTTTTTATTTACTACGAAAAACTTTCACAAAAAACGCAAAGAGTTCCCGCTAAACCGGTGTTTAAAAAATTTTAATCGTTTTTTCGGATCTTCTTTATGCATTTTTTAAAAAAGTTGCCTTTGTGCTGTTTATTGTTTTAATACCATCAGGGTGTAGAACTCTACAAATAAATGAACACCGACTTAAGAAAACAGTGTAATTGGAACATAAGAATAATAACGTAATTTCACACAAAATTTCGTGAAAAAAAAAATTTGTTTGTGCACAAGATAAAAATGAAAAAGTCTATATGTAAAAGTTACAGACCTTCCCATTATGTCCAATATAGCGACATAATTTTTTTCTATAGGACTGGTATTTTTACCGGAAAATGAGATGAAACAACCACGCCCACGGATGGGGAGCATCCTTTTGCCGACCACAGATGGCAAGTCAATTACTTTTCCTTTAATGTTTGTGAGTTTCTCTTTCATATCCGATGGGTTTCAAACTACTACGAATTTCTTCTTTCTTATCATTTGAAAAGGCATTATATTTTCTCAGAAAATTAAAAAAATATACACTTTAATTTTTGTTACTTCATCTTTTAGTTCCAATGGTATTTTTGTACATACATATGTACATATGTACAAATGCAATTGTTTTTTTCACTTCTTACTATTTTCAAAGACACTAAAAACTCTGCGTCCCGTACTCAAGCTGTTTCAATACCTGCGGTTTTAATTTAATTTGCATTTTAATGTACAAATAAATCGTTCTTTTTAATTAATAGGCAGTAAACAATTTGCGCGCCTTAATGATATAATTTCTATTTGAGTTTCCTCAATAAAACGCAACCAATCAAATGTCATTTACAGCAGTACGCATGACATTAAGAGTTTGATGAGTTTGTTTTCATGTCGTTGACAAGTTGTTCTACCCGTTTGGCACAAGCGACCTTGTACGGATTAGCGAGTTCTCGGAAACATTGCTTCCACTGATAATTAATCGCAAGAAAATTATGGTTTTTTTTACATGCATACATACATATATATGTATATAAATTAATTATACATACATATTTTTCCACATTATTAATTTACATGAATTCATAGATTTTTATTTAATTTCACAACATAAATACAGTATACTAGATTACTTCGTAGAACATCGCGAAATTATGCCGACGATCTAAATAAGGAAAAACAGTTACTGCGCATTAATTTCTATTCGTAGAACGGTACTCTTCATTTGCTCTTATTACAAACACCCAAATTGTGAGCCAGGCATTACCGGTATTTTTTATTGTTTTGCTATTTTGTTTTTGTCTACAGCATTTATATGCACACACACACACACATAAACACAATAAATACGTATAAAAAATTAGCTTTCTATATAAATGCACACACATACAGGTACCCATATTTAGTTAAGCGCCGGCGTTAATCAATAAAATGCATGTGCAAGCAATTCTATACATCTTTTGCCTCTGTAAAAACCAAAATGCACACATGTAAGGTTTGACTGCTCCTATCATTACGCGTTTACTGGCGCGTCAAGACAGCGGGTCAAGTTTATTGCATCAGCTGCTTTTGATATGAACCTGAGCTGCATGATGCCGAGTATAAATATCGGCCCTAACTTTGGTTTCGGACATTGCAGTTTCAGTATTTGCAACATGAAGTTCTTCGCTCTCTTTGCTTTTGTCTTGGCCTTAGTGGCGATGGCTATGGGTGAGTTACAGGATTCGGTTAAAAATTAAAGATGCAATACTACATGCATACAATCACGTACATATGTATATATTCATGTTATCGACTTTCCGATTAATTACAAATCATTTTCTTCTTTTTACAGCCATGCCTGAACCTCTGCCCGGTGGTGGCGGCGGCGGCGGTGGCGGTGGTGGTCTCACATTTGAAGAGCTCGGTGGAGGCGGCGGCGGCGGTGGTGGCGGTGGTCTCAACCTTGAACTTGGCGGAGGCGGTGGTGGTGGCGGCGGCGGTGGCAAGTAAATCGCACAGCCATCAACCGACATAGTTTAACACATTGTTAATTGATTTGACTGTTTGGCCTAAAGATTTAGAACAAATTATTACATTAATAAATCTAATTTGATAAACAAAATATAATCGCATTTTAATGATTTGCTTCTATAATTATTAAATTATTATTAAGTGAGCGTGTATTTACTATTGAGCAGCTAAGATGATATGCGGTAAAAGAAGAGCTCTTCCAGAGTATTTTCTCTTTTAAGGAGATTTAATACTATATGGAGATTTAATTTATTGTTGGATAAGTTAGTGCTTTAGAGGGAATTGCATATTGTCACACTCATAGAAACTCCCATCCCTATTACCAATAACCTGGAACAGCTTCTCTTATGGCGTATTTTTCACCTGCAAAGTCCGTCGCTTTATCTTTGCCAAATTTCTTGAAAACGCCTTGAAAAATAAAACCGTTTTCTACCGGTCAGTTTGTAATGCAGCTATATGTTATAGTTGTCCTATATCGGCGGTACAGATAAATAAGCAGTTTTTTGGTGAGGAAAGGATTTTACAGATCAATATCTCAAAAACTAAAGAACTAGTTCGCGTATATACAGACGGACAGGCAGACAAACGCATATGGTTAAATCGAGCTGAGTCGATGTAAATCATTTATATCACTTATGTATATAAAATTTAGCGTTGAATTTGGTCGAAAAAACTGTGCTCAAATTTGTACTATATGATCCAGATGTATAAATTCCCAGTTCTATGAACACATCATAAAAGTTGTTTTAAATATATCTCGTCATTAATATGAGTTCCAACTATTGGAATGATCGAATATAAACCGGAGAGTAAATGTACTATTAGAAAAATGACTTAACTAACAACATTTACAACAATACATTTACATACATATGTATGTCAAAATACATACTATATACAAACATACATATATTTTAGCAATGTTATGTATTGGAAGGATAAACAATCGTTTTTTGACATACAGGTGCAAAAATTATTAGTGATGCTAAGTTCTTTTTCGATATTTTTGTTGATGCTTCATTTATCTATTGTAAAGAGAAAGAATTTGATGTTTTTTAAAACGGTGCCACAAGCGAAGCAAGTACCTATTTTCAAATATCTTGGGGATGCCCAGGAAATGTGTTACATCAAAATTTGTTTCAAATTGGTCCAGTAGTTGCTGAAATTGTGTGGATTTCATTTAAAAATGGGCATTTAGCCCAGTGTCTAATTTTAATACATAACTAAGTAAACCTTTTTTTCAATCTTTGTAATTACGCCTTGCGTAAGGCGTGGGTTTAGCTAATAGACGATTTGACTCTTTTGATACAATTATGATATACAAAAGATATTTTTTTTTACTGTGGTTAATATGACTTTAATGTTCAGAAACGGGCACATACCCTCTTCTTGAAATATATTTTAACCGCAGGTGATCTTCTTTAGTGTGATCAGTTCGTAGATTAGTTTATTACTTACGGGATGTGTTCAAAAATAACTGAAGCATTGGATTTTTGAAAGAGAATTATTTTTTAACATATTTTTACATTCTGCACTTTTGCCAGCGCTTTTTCCAATCGCTGAAACACTTCTCAAAGTCGATTTTTGGGATAGCCATTAGCTTTTCCGCAATGCGCTTTTAATGTCATCTATGTCTGTTTGTGACAACCATTTAGGGTTCATTTAATTTTTGGAAATAGGAAAAGGTCACGCGGAGTCATGTCTGGCAAATATTAGCGAACAAATTCTTTACTCTACTATTTCTTGAACAAACGGTTGCAGACAAGGTAAGCAAGGAGTACAGCTGAGAATTGTATTGTACTTCATGATATGTCAACATAGCAAAAAAAAATTTAACAATTGGGCTATCCAAACTCGCGAAATCTTAATTTTAAAACTCCCGTTAGTTTTTGAACACACCCCATAGTTATAGTTTTGTTATATGGCAAAATCAACGTCTGTGCAATAATAAACCTCCTTAGACCGCCAACGATCGTGTTACCAAGTCCTATCCACATTTATCGTTCATGTCACTTCGAAAAGTAAATGTTGAGCTTTGTGATATCTTGATCAGCTTTAAGCACAGGCACGTCACCACTAGTCCACAATTTGGATTCCCGGGTAGAGCAGTTAGACAAGCTAGGAACCTCTTTCGATGAATCCGAGGCCCTCTAAAAACGATCAGAAGATAATTTATACTCAACTTAATTCAGGGCAGTTAGAAATCAATAATCACAATGGGCTTTCTAGAGGCCTATGTGAGTGATCAGACAGCCACTCTACCTACCTAGCTATGATAAGAACAGCACTAAAGACTTATTACATAAGTAGAGGTATAGTACTTACGGTCTCACAGCTACCATAGCGGGGGACTTTCTTTCGGAGAATGCGTTAATGGATAAAATGAGTAGTCTCACTCAGACCAGCAAATGGTTTGAGCGCAACGAGGAAACGAGATTGCAATATTATAAAGGTTAAATAAAATTTACCCCAAGTTGGCAGCACTTTTACCTACCTGTTGCAAATACTTGGAATATACATATTCCTTTCAGTCTGAGGAAGTTGTTATTGCAGGTGGATAGTATTAGACTATTGCTCCGACCAGAAATTACCGCTACTAAAAAATTGTAAAGAGCTGCAAGTAAGTCGCAAATCTATCTTTAACAAAAAAGGTTATTATCTTACAAACTGCTAAAGCTCTTTCAACCAAATTTTGTGAATATATTGAATTCCAGCATATCCTTGATACTTAAATAGATAACTTAAAAGATAACTGGCTAGATTTAATAAAAAACCTCAAAATAACGATTCACCAAAGTGATTATGGTTGACTTTAAACCGAAAAGTCGGTTGACTATTTCCTCTAGTTCCCCTGTGCTTATTATAAAGTAATGATTTTAGAAATTTAAACCGTTTTTATACGGTATAAAGTCAGTGCCGGATTAAAGTAGCGCGGGGCCTGTAGCAAATTCTGTCAAGCGGCTCTTGGTATAGTATAGGTTCTCAAGTTTAGGATATTAAATAAAACAAAATTGTTACAAATAAACTTTTCTGGATTTATTATAGGCAAATTTAGAGGTAACACTTTCAATATCGACTTCTTTAAGCAACTCAAGCTCTATATTCAACAAAGTGAGATGATTAAGACGTTCTTTGCCCAACGTGTTCCTTAATTAATTTTTAATACGTTTTATTATTGAAAAAGAACGTTCGCCACCGCAGTTAGTGATTATGAGAGATAAGTAAATTCGCAAAGCAATTTCTAAGTTTGGGAATAACGATTCTAAATAATTATGTATTTAATAAAAGTTTGTAATATTGCTGTTCCAGAGGCTCCTGTTTCTTGCTTTCAATAACAGTAGCCACATTTGTTTTCAGCAGCTCTGCGAATTGCACTAATTCTGCGCCAAGGCTGTTCTCCAAATCATCTTCGTAAGCACTGACCATACTAGAGAATTTTTCCAAAATCTCTTCTGTTGTAAGAGATTTTAGCTGTTGAAATACTTCAAAAATACTAGTAATTTTATTATATGCTTTCATATGTTTAGTTGAAGTAATCAATAATGACAATAAACACCTCAAATTCGAAACGTTGTCCAGTTGTTTGATTTTCAACAAAGTCGTCGAGCGTAGTAGAGCCGCTGAAATGGTCGTACTTTGTATTACGCTTGATTCGTCTTGATGCCTGTTGCTGGTTTTCTTCACAGTAGGTCAGATCTTTGACTCTTGCCTCAGTATCTGAAAAAGTGGATCGCATTACTTGGACGTAGCCATATAATGATTCGTAGGCGTATTATTAAGGTCTTGATCAGCCGACTGTAGCGTAGCAGTAGTTGAAAGTAGTTCGGAAGCTTTATTACGGCAACCCGCTTCATTGAAAATGTCTTCCAATACTTGCTTAATAGTGATAAAACCACATCAAAGTCCTTCGTAGCATCAGCTCGGGCTGACCACCTAGTGTCCGATAGCCGTTTCAAAATCGGAATTTTTGAAGTAGAATCTTTAAGTGCATACAAAATCTAGAGATAATCGATAATGATTTTCTTTTTATATTATTTTATGAAAATATTTATTTAATTAATAGAAATTCACAATAGCGGTATTTGGCCGAAATTAAACTTTATTTTGATATAAAAATTAATGGATATTAATAAAAAAAAGTAATAACCTGGACGCTTGAAGGGTAGAAATGTACCTAGTATAGATACTAGTCTAAATATTTCGATTATAATATTTATAATTAAACATTAGAACTTTAAACTTAAGAAGTTCGTAAAATGCCTACTTATTTTTACGCTTTAACGTGACGAAATCGGGTTTTAGATTTTCAGGTGGAAGGTGGAAGTGAAGCATAGGCTAAGCGCTTCGCGCTTAAAGCATGGAAGGATATTTTACGCTACATCTAAACTGAATTTTTTTTAAATTACGGTCAGTTGGATCGCGGGCCGGTAGCATTTGCTACTCTTGCTACGTGGCTAATCCGGCACTATATAAAGTAGAGATACATGTATGTATCTTAAACATTGAGTCAACCCATACCAAAAAATCATTGAAATTGGAATCTCGGTGACGACATATGGCTTTCCTCATTCTGTTGACTTAATGCCGAATGATTGAGTCAATATACCCCTCTATGGATAATAGATGACTTATTTTATTGGTACTGTTAAAACTTCATATTATGCATTCCTCTGACCCCATATACCCAATATAATGATTTAAGTTTATGTAATTTAATAGTCAATATTCTATTTATAAACGACATTTTTCTTTATAAAGATTTGCTGACACGTGGAAGTATTTCCTCACGTTAAATTCTAAACAAATGAGACTTCGGCTGCACCCGACATCCTTATTCGTTTGCTATAAAGTTTAGAGAGTGAATATACTATACATATATTCAGATGCACCCCCACATAGCGCTTTCTTACACGTTATTTTGCATTTGTGCTGTCAATCAATATGCAGCACCTTTGTACGTCTTTCCGTTGAAAATATAAGAGTATGCTTCATCAATCACTTAGCCATATGTATGTGTCCATATATAAGTATATAATATATGTATATGCATTTCAATTATTTATGTAAAAAACTTTTACATGTATATGAACATACACACTTCTATATATGGACGAGTGTATGTCTAGACTGTTGTTATCGCCGTGCGTTTAAGAGCGCATCAAAACAGCGGGTCAAGTTTATTGTCTCAGCTGCTTTTGCGACGAAGCTGACAACATGATACCGAGTATAAATATCAGCCCTAACTTTGGTTTCGGACACTGCAGTTTCAGTATTTGCAACATGAAGTTCTTCGCTCTCTTTGCTTTTGTCCTGGCCTTAGTGGCGATGGCTATGGGTGAGTTACAGGATTCGGTTAAAAATTAAAGAAGCAATACCACATGCCTGCAATCACGTACATATGTATATATTCATGTTATCGACTTTCCGATTAATTACAAATCCTTTTTCTTCTTTTTACAGCCATGCCTGAACCTCTGCCCGGTGGTGGTGGCGGCGGCGGTGGCGGTGGTGGTCTCACCTTTGAAGAGCTCGGTGGAGGCGGCGGCGGCGGTGGTGGCGGTGGTCTCAACCTTGAGCTCGGCGGAGGCGGTGGTGGTGGCGGCGGCGGTGGCGGTGGTGGTCTCACCTTTGAAGAGCTCGGTGGAGGCGGCGGCGGCGGTGGTGGCGGTGGTCTCAACCTTGAGCTCGGCGGAGGCGGTGGTGGTGGCGGCGGCGGTGGCGGTGGTGGTCTCACCTTTGAAGAGCTCGGTGGAGGCGGCGGCGGCGGTGGTGGCGGTGGTCTCAACCTTGAGCTCGGCGGAGGCGGTGGTGGTGGCGGCGGCGGTGGCGGTGGTGGTCTCACCTTTGAAGAGCTCGGTGGAGGCGGCGGCGGCGGTGGTGGCGGTGGTCTCAACCTTGAGCTCGGCGGAGGCGGTGGTGGTGGCGGCGGCGGTGGCGGTGGTGGTCTCACCTTTGAAGAGCTCGGTGGAGGCGGCGGCGGCGGTGGTGGCGGTGGTCTCAACCTTGAGCTCGGCGGAGGCGGTGGTGGTGGCGGCGGCGGTGGCGGTGGTGGTCTCACCTTTGAAGAGCTCGGTGGAGGCGGCGGCGGCGGTGGTGGCGGTGGTCTCAACCTTGAGCTCGGCGGAGGCGGTGGTGGTGGCGGCGGCGGTGGCGGTGGTGGTCTCACCTTTGAAGAGCTCGGTGGAGGCGGCGGCGGCGGTGGTGGCGGTGGTCTCAACCTTGAGCTCGGCGGAGGCGGTGGTGGTGGCGGCGGCGGTGGCGGTGGTGGTCTCACCTTTGAAGAGCTCGGTGGAGGCGGCGGCGGCGGTGGTGGCGGTGGTCTCAACCTTGAGCTCGGCGGAGGCGGTGGTGGTGGCGGCGGCGGTGGCGGTGGTGGTCTCACCTTTGAAGAGCTCGGTGGAGGCGGCGGCGGCGGTGGTGGCGGTGGTCTCAACCTTGAGCTCGGCGGAGGCGGTGGTGGTGGCGGCGGCGGTGGCGGTGGTGGTCTCACCTTTGAAGAGCTCGGTGGAGGCGGCGGCGGCGGTGGTGGCGGTGGTCTCAACCTTGAGCTCGGCGGAGGCGGTGGTGGTGGCGGCGGCGGTGGCGGTGGTGGTCTCACCTTTGAAGAGCTCGGTGGAGGCGGCGGCGGCGGTGGTGGCGGTGGTCTCAACCTTGAGCTCGGCGGAGGCGGTGGTGGTGGCGGCGGCGGTGGCAAGTAAATCGCACAGCCATAAACTACATAGTTTAACACATTCTTAATTAATTTTACTGTGTGGCCGAAGGATTTAGAACAAATTATTACATTAATAAATCTAATTTGATAAACAAAATATAATGAGTGCTTTTGATGTTTCGTATTATGATATTATTGAGTATATGTAAATTTGCAGTTGAGCAGCTAAAATGCTATTTGGTAAAAGTAGAAGCCTTCCATAGTTCCTTTACTTTGAAGGAGATTAATTCTATACGGAATAATAGTGGAATGCAAGGATATGGTTAGCTAACAAAACTATTATATATACACCCATACATACATACATATGTGTACATAAGTATGGTATCTATGGTTTTCCTCTTACAATGGGTTATACTTCATAATGATAAAGGGAAAGTTAATTAATTAAAACAATTACAAGGAATAAAATGTGTTATCCTAAAATAATCTCAGCAAGAGGTATTAGTATAGGGAAAGGGTATTAGTATAGGGATGACGCCTGAAGTATTTTAGCTAGATAACAGAATATTTTTCTTCATAAAGCGAGCACATTTGAAGATATTTTTTCTCGAGAGGGTTCACTGATTAAGTTTCATTGGGTAGTTCCGGATAATGTCATGTTTTAATACGGAGAATAACAACTTAAATACCTTTATTTGGGGTTCCTTCATTCCACTGAAATATGTATTCATACAAATGTAAACAGTGGACATTTCTAAAATTTTATACTTACATATGTATATTATGGTAGCATTTCAGAGACAATCAAAATATTGCGAAATATCATCGCAATTGAAGTGGACAAGTGTGGTTACCTTAATTGTAGATTAAATGGGAAATTCTGTGTCTTATTTTCAAATAATAACAACTAAGATTCAACTAAAAAATGGGTAATTTTTAGACAGATATAGCCTGTGCACCGAACTACATTATATTATACGATCAATGAGTTGTCGAAAACTCTATATTCACAGTACGAAAAATTAATGTATTAATTTTTAATCAGGGAATCAGAGATATCCATTTCATTTTCTATCTGAGAAGCACAAACAAAATTTTTGCACAATACGGAATTAAACGTTTTTTACTACGATCCCGAGTACCCAGTTCATGTTTTCAGATTAATGTATGACTTGGTTATGGGTTTATACTCTCTCAACATGATTAGCACAGTACTATGATATATTACAGTTTCGTGGAGCTTATGATTCTTTGTAACAGCTAAAACTAATCAAGGAATTTTAGTTGTGTAAATGAACGGGCTGACGACACGGCAGCTAAAACTTGAGTAAAAATTAAGATAATATGTCATATGCTCACTTCAGGCATGGGATCTACAGATTGGATTGGATTATTGAATAACCTGGTATGTTGATGACACCTAGAACTTGGTAATGTGGATTAGCAGAATCGAACCATTGTCACTTCTAAACAAGTAAGGAAGAGCTAAGTTCGGGTGTCACCGAACATTTTATACTCTCGCATGATAAAGTGATAATCGAGATTTCAGGCGTGGTTGTGAACCGATTTCACCCATATT